TGGTGCATGAACTGATGCCTCTAGGTTGGACTCAAGGGAGGTCCAGAATGCTACAGGCTTATCCGGTGGACTTTAACAGCATCCCACCAGCACTATGCCACCGGAAACGCTAACTTCTATCCACAGCAGCTCTTAGTCAGTCTCCAAGTCAGTGCGTCTTCGCGCAAGAACAGATTCATGGCAGTTTATCTTGGAATTTTCGGTGCGCTTGATCTGGATAGCTCCTGAACGGTCCTATATAGCTGGTCGATATGGCTTATCAGCCTTTTCTCACGGTCTGCAGCAGCACTTCTTTCGGCATCGACCATGTCCATTATCACCGCCAGAGCGTCGTGGAAATCGCGGCAGCAGTTCGACGTGGGGAAACGATTATCTGGGACGTCGCACGGCTGTTCTTGCTCATCGCTCTCTACTGCGGCCATGGTCGTGGAATCCCTGTTTGCAGACATGCTTGCAACAAAAATCCGGGTCAGAGATCCCAAAAGTAACTGAGCTGAAAAACATGCATCCTACTCTATAATCTCTGGATAATTTGAATTTGCTACGGATTGTTTCCACAAGGGTACAACAAGGCGGCCGTCTTTGTCACTGTCCGCGAGACAAAGAACCACTTGTGGCGAACTCCCTGGCCGAAGGCAGAAAATGCCACTTGTGGTTGGGTGCGGGCGAACTCAGCCAGAACATCCACTTCGCGACACCACTCATCCACCTTGCCTGACACATATGCCGAACAGAATGTTGGTGATCCGAGGACGGTACCTAGGTGGCGACACCCATCCGACCGGATAATGTTGTTGTTGTTCTTCTTTTTATTTGAACTCGCACAACCAAACGGGCAATAAGCCCAATTACATTGAAGCGAATAAAAGAATGCTAAGAGTGAGGCATTTTGGTGAATATTATTTCAAGTGGAAATACTGATCAAGGGAGGCTGCAAATAGGTACATGTATAATGAAAATCCGAAAAGGCTGTGTTAATGTCATTTACCATGCTGCAAGCAGCTATATATAGAAGGAAAAACAACAAGAAAGACGTGTCTCATGTACTGGACAAACAGAGCTAACAGGAAAAGACCGTTCGTTAAATTGCCTATACATACTGTCCTTGTGTGTGCGTGTGTGTGTGTGTGTGTGTGTGTTTGTGTGTGTGTGTGTTTGTGTGTGTGTGCGTGCATGCGTGCATGCACGTGTGTGTGTGTGTATGTGTGTGTGTGTGTGTGTGTGTGTGTGTGTGTGTGTGTGTGTGTGTGTGTGTGTGTGTGTGTGTGTGTGTGTGTGTGTGTGTGTGTGTGTGTGTGTGTGTGTGTGTGTGTGTGTGTGTGTGTGTGTGTGTGTGTGTGTGTGTGTGTGTGTGTGTGTGTGTGTGTGTGTGTGTGTGTGTGTGTGTGTGTGTGTGTGTGTGTGTGTGTGTGTGTGTGTGTGTGTGTGTGTGTGTGTGTGTGTGTGTGTGTGTGTGTGTGTGTGTGTGTGTGTGTGTGTGTGTGTGTGTGTGTGTGTGTGTGTGTGTGTGTGTGTGTGTGTGTGTGTGTGTGTGTGTGTGTGTGTGTGTGTGTGTGTGTGTGTGTGTGTGTGTGTGTGTGTGTGTGTGTGTGTGTGTGTGTGTGTGTGTGTGTGTGTGTGTGTGTGTGTGTGTGTGTGTGTGTGTGTGTGTGTGTGTGTGTGTGTGTGTGCATATCACTGTTTCTCTTCTTTAATTATGGCTTGAGAGTGTATGTCAAAGCTGGAGTCCTGGAAGATTTCCCTGGCCCGATTCTATCATCGCGTATCGTGATTCGGTATCTGAAGTGAATCGGCTGACGCATTAAATCAATCGCCAATTTCCTCCTGTCAACTGTAGGGGTGCATAACCGAGACCGTTATTTCGAGAGGCATCGGTTTCCAAGCGAGTGGGGGCACCAAACTCATAGTACGCCAGGGTCGGTGTTTGCAACAAGGAAGATTTGATACTCAACATTGCGGCATCATGATCCTGGTTCCAAAGGAACTCAGCATTTGCCTTCAGCAGACTCCGTAATGGCTGTGTCAATTTGGCAATTTCATCGCTGAAATCAAAGAATTGATTTACCAAGCCCAGAAATGAGCAGAGATCAGTGCGTGTGGTCGGGGTCGGAAATTGTCCCAATGCCGACGTTCTCTCTGGGTCCATACGCCATCTGCCTTCGCTGACGAAGTACCCGCAGAACTGAACCTCTGACTGAGCGAAAGCGAATTTCTTCTTTGAGAATATGATGCCATTCTCTCGCGCACGCTGCAAAACCGAACGGACACGCTTTACAAGTCAATTGTGAGGCGCTTTTCAGCAGTGTTCTTTTTCTCAGCCAGCACGATTGGATGGCACTTGTTTCACAGTTTTGTGCCATACTCGTAGATTTACAGTCCATTCAGAAAAAGAGGGACTTCTAGCTTTTGGCCATAAATGGGTCAAACTTTGAGTTTTTGTAGAATTTTTTTCCGCCATCCCCTATGAAATCCTCTTCCAATTATGTTTCTGAAGTGTTTTTGTCCAAAAAGCAAGCCAGAGCATTAATAGGATTTCGGCCAGGTTTTACGCCAAAAGCACTGAATCGGGAAAACCATCAAAATCCAGGCCGTTTTACCCCGCCTGCAACAGTGCATTGTGCGGTTCGAACCCCAGTTCAAGTACCTCTTTGGACCCTTTTTCAAATTTCAAAGTTCGCAGCCCTGCACTGTGTACGATGAAATCACAAAAAATACGGGAGCTCGCCAGAGCCAGGGCCCATCTTTTTTATGAATGGACTGTAGTGAACTTAAAGTATTGAAAGCTGTGTTCATTAGCAAATATAACTCCAAGATATGCATCCAGAAAGAAGATGTCACTAAACTTAGACTAGTCTATTAGCTTTCACACACACATACACCCCCCCCCCCTCATACCCATGAGCGTACTCCTTACACTTCACCCTCTCTGAGTCTCACATTGTTATTATGTCTCACCTCCTCATAATATTTTTTCTCTCCCCCCACCCCTGTTAGTAGTTCACACTTCTCTAGTCTTTCGCAATTCACCTTCTTTTCTCCTATTTTCTTTCACATAGTGCATTTCGTACTCTTCCAAGTATCCATTGTTGTTTATTGCTAAAGAAGAGGTTGGTGCGACTTCGACGATAGTAGGGGAAGAGTGTGTGGCTCCCTACATGGGAGCTCGCGGTTTTCCTGCCGACTTGAATTCTAACTTGACCAACTAACGCGCTTCCATGAGCCATACAGACTCACGCTGCTATCTGGTGTTCACAAGGTGTCGCGCTGGAAATGGGGCGTCGCTGTAAGTTTGTATCCCTGGTGATGTTTGTGCCTGGAGAGCACTATATAAGTGGTGCTCTTCAGGCACAATCTTCCTCAGCCCACTCAAGCTCAACCGATATGGGGTGAATTCCCCGAAACACTGTGTATTGAGCAGGGAGTGGTGTGTTGTAAAATGATGTGTTGTTTTCCTGTGTGATGGCATTCCCCAAACCGTCTCGTCTAGTCGCGTACATGTGTGATATGAGCATGCGCAATTTTGTAGTCGAGAGTCCTTTTGTGAGTCTTCTTGTTCGTCCCTGCTTTTCCGTCTGGTAAAAATAAATAATGTAACAAACGAGTCTTGTCCTTTGTGTCCTGCGTCCCAGGAACGGAATGGCTGTGACTCCGTAACAACGTGGTGCCGAAACCCGGGACGCAGAGGATGAGTTAGTTTGTCTTGAGTCTGCTGGTCGTCGTCAACAACAAAGTAACTTTGAAGTCAAAAGTAAGCATGGGAGCGGAGAAGATGAGGAGCTGGTGGGAGCGTATGACGATGGAAAGGAGGCAGAGGAGGTGATGGACTGAGACTAAACCTGTGGACTGGAGCCTGGGACGGCAGGTACTGCGGTGGAGCGTGTGGCCGCCAGAGGCCAGTGGACGAGTCTGGCATCACCGACCGTGTGTCGTCCTTGTTGTTCGTCTTGTTGTTGTCTTGCTTGCTGTGTTGTCTGATCGTGTTTCTCTTGCTGTTCAGTCCGTTGCTTGTTGCTGTATTGTTTGAGTTGGTTGTTGTTGTTCTGTTGCTCTTCTCGTCATTTTTTGTTCTCCATTGTTTTGTGCTTTAGATTTAGTTTGCGCTGCTGCGCGTATGATAACGATTATTTGAGAGCTTGGGCTTTTGTAGGCCGCCGCGGTCACCCCGAGCTCGATTCTGCCATTCAGGCAACACAAGCACTTGTTTGCGTTACTATTACCATGGAAATGGCTGAAAAGCAACTTTGTGCCGTGATTCCGCTACAATTGTAGTTCGCGCCACAGCTTTTACAAGCGGCCGAAGGTCGGAATACAAAAAAAAGATTTTGAGATCACTTGGAGCACACGATGTAGTGGACATGAGGCCGAGGAACTGATATCGATATTCTGTCTTGTTTCTACGTGTATGCCTTAGCCTTGGCTGTGGTTTTGACAGTGTCTGTCTATCCAACAGGTCAGTTTGATTTTCTCCGATGGCCATGGACTCCTGGACTCCACCTCTAGGGTGTAGATTGTTGGAGCTGTGGTTCGAGGCCAAGACAAGGACCCAAAGTCACGACTGAATTCCTGAAGAAAGGTACCAAGAAGAGAATGGATTGTGACAGAGTTGGGAGAAAAGCAACTGGCGGAGCAGAAAGCTCAACATCAGGAAACACCATCACCCGAATCATCGCATCCATGCAAACCGAACAAATAATGGCCATTTTTGTGATTTTACCATTACTGGGTCTGTGGTATATGCATACCACAGACCCAGTAATGCATACTGTGTAGTGTGCATCTTGATTACACGTAGGTCACGCCTTGCAGGCTGCGCAGCCGTAGTGTAGGTTCATGTTATTTTTATTTGTGATCTTTTGTTTTCTTTGATTTCATGTTTCTGTTGTAAGTCAGTTCGATACCAAGTAAACTCAAGTTCGGTTGTGTTGTCGTGTGCTCATGTTTCCCCTTGGGTAGAAACATAACATTGGCGACGAAGTGGTTTTTGTAGAACCTGTAGAAGAATGACGACGCTCATTGGTTCCCTCGAACCGTTAAATGTCTCTTCGGGAGAGTGGCCCTCGTACTCGTCTTGTCTTGAGCACTACCTCACGGCGAATAAAATTGTAGACGACGACTTGAAAAAGGCCACGATGCTAAATGTCATCGGTGGTCCAGCTTTCGATTTGCTGAGGGATTTGTTGGCTCCTGACGAGCCGGACAGCAAGTACGAAGAACTGAAAGATGTTCTCAAAGATCATCTGGCTCCCAAGCCGCTCGTAATTGGTGAGAGGTACCGTTTTTACCAGCGTAATCAACGGCAAGGAGAATCAATTGTCAGTTCCGTGGCCGAACTCAGGCGTTTGGCTCGGACTTGCGAGTTCAAGGCTCATCTGCCTGAGGCCCTCCGGGACCGGTTTGTCTGTGGACTACGAGGTGCTGGTGTTCGCAGAAAATTATTAGCCACGGACAGTTTGACATTTGACAAAGCTGTCTCTGTCACGAAAGCGCAGGAGCTCGCAGCGAAGGACGCAGTTGAAGTGTCTGCAGAGCCCAACGCTGTGGCAGAGGGTACCAGTGTACACAAAGTGACCATGTCGAGTACAAAACCCAATCAACCTTGTTACCATTGTGGTGGTACAGACCACCTGGCAGCTGTTTGTCGATTCAAGGATGCAGAGTGCCGATCTTGCCACAAACGTGGTCACATTCAACGAGTTTGTAAGTCGACAAGAGGAGAAGAGTACACGAGACGCAAGCTCATCAAAGTCAGCACGAGCTACAGTCCACCAAGTGGAGTAGTCCACAGGGTTGTTTGCCAGTGACGATGAGGCTCTATATTGAGTGGAAACGGATCGTCCACCACCACCCATTCGAACAGAGGCAATCCTGAACGGCTTCACTGTCCACATGGAAGTAGATACTGGTGCTGCTATGTCTTTGATGCCTCTGTCGGTGTTTCAAGGCCTTTTTGCAGACAAACATAAGCTGCGTCCCAGTTCAGTGAAATTCAGAACGTACACCGGAGAAAAGCTAGACTCCAAAGGTGTATTCACAGTACAAGCGACGATTAATCAGCAGACGGCGAGTGCGGAGCTGCATGTCGTGGATGGTCCTGGCCCTGTGCTTCTTGGACGTGATTGGTTGCAGCAGTGGACATTGGATTGGGCAGCCATCAAGATGGTCCAGGCGCAGAACAAGCCCACAGTGATGGAAGCCGTGAAAGAACTTCAAACCAAGTATGCGGAAGTATTTGGAGATGACCAGGGTTGCCTTAAAGCAACTACCGCTCAACTGACGCTGCAACCAGATGCTAAGCCGAAATTCCTCCGTGCTCGTCAGTTACCCTTGTCGCTAAAAGCCCAAGTGGGAGCTAAAATTCGACGAATGGAAGCGGCTGGAATAGTGTCTCGTGTCGATTGGAGTGACTGGGCCACACCAGTTGTGCCCGTTCCGAAACCTAATGGCACCGTTCGACTATGTGGTGACTTCAAGGTCACCGTCAACCCGCAGTTGTGAGTGGACCAACACCCGCTCCCACTCATCGACGACATTGTCAGGTGGTCAGAGATTCACGAAGCTCGATTTGAAAGCAGCATATACTCAGATGGAGGTAGCAGAAGAGTCACGCCCAATGCTAACGCTGAACACGCACTTGGGACTGTACCGAATCAATCGACTAGCATATGGCATTGCATCAGCACCAGCTTTGTGGCAGCGTGCCATGGACCAGCTGCTGGGAGACCTGTCACCAGTTGAATGCACCAACGATGATGTCATTCTGACTGGAGAGGATGACGACCAGCATCTGCAGACCCCGGAAGCTGTCCTCAAGCGCCTGGCCGATGCTGGACTCCGGGTGAACCCCGGCAAGTGTGAGTTTTTCAAGGAGCAAGTTCAGTATTGTGGACACACTATCAGCGCCCAAGGTCTACACCAGTTGCCATCCAAGATTGATGCAGTGGGCGAAGCATTGCCACCTAAGAACGTCTCTGAAGTCAGAAGCTTCATTGGTCTGGTGACGTATTATCAGCGGTTCTTGCCGGATATGGCAACGGTCCTCAGCCCAATCACAGTATTGTTACAGAAGAATCAGCCGTTCCAGTGGACCGCGGAATGCCAAGATGCCTTTGTGGCTTCTGACCAAGTGCTCATGCACTACAATGCAAGTCTTCCACTTCGTCTTGCAACCGATGCATCGCCATATGGGTTGGGTGCAGTGTTGTCACATGTGTTGCCTGACGGTGAGGAACGACCTGTTGCATTTGCGTCCAGGAAGCTATCAGCCACGGAACAGCGGTGCTTGCAGATCGACAAGGAAGCATTGGGCATTGTCTGGGGAGTCAAGAAATTCCACAACTATGTCTATGGTCGGCATTTCGAGCTGCTGACAGATCATCAGCCACTGGTATCAATTTTCAGCCCTTCGAAAGGATTGCCGGTAATGACTGCGGCCCGGCTACAGCGCTACGCTATGTTTTTTGCAGGACATCAGTATATGATTCTCTACCGGCGGACTCAGGATCACTGCAATGCAGATGGCTTATCCCGTCTCCCGGTCGGCGCACCAACTCGTGACGCTGGTGACGACGCGGTCGAGGTTTTCTACTCGTCGCTCACAGATCCACTGCCAGTCACAGCCAGACAGATTCGTGATAGTACACGTCGAGACCCTCTGTTGTCCGAAGTGCTACGATATGTGGAGACTGGCTGGCCAGCAGCCTGTCCAAAGCCCAGTTTGCAACCATACTTTAATCGCCGCAACGAGCTCAGTCTAAGTATGGAATGTCTCTTGTGGGGCAATCGTGTCGTTGTGCCATCAGCCTATCATGCGGAGATTCTAGCAGAGTTGCACAGCGGACATCCCGGCATTGTTCGCATGTAAAGTCTTGCCCGCAGCCACATATGGTGGCCCCAGATTGACGCTGCTCTGGAGCAGACGGTCAAAGCCTGTTTTGGCTGTCAGCAAGCGCAACATCTCCCGCAGAAGGCCCCTCTGCACCCATGGGTGTGGCCCAGTAGACCATGGGAGCGCATCCACATAGACTTCCTTGGCCCACTAAGAGGACACATGTGGCTGGTCATTGTGGATGAACACTCGAAGTGGCCGGAAGTCTTGCCATTTCGATCCACCACAGCTCAGGCAACGGTCGCGAGTCTACACACTGTATTTGCTCGCTACGGCTGTCCAGAGGAGTTGGTCAGCGACAATGGGCCCCAGTTTGTCGCCGCAGAATTTGAAGCGTTCCTGCGCGCGAATGGTATCCGACACCGCACGTCAGCACCATACCACCCTGCCACCAACGAGCTGGCAGAACGGTTTGTCCAGTCCTTCAAACGTGCCATGAAGGCGTTCCCCGATGCGATGCCTTGTCAGGCAGCAGCGGACAAGTTCTTGATCTCCTATCGCAACACGGTCCACCCAACTACCGGCGAAACACCTTCCAACCTATTAATGGGCCGACGTTTGCGCACACGACTAGATCTCCTACGCCCGGATGTACGAACCCGGGTGGCAGCACAGCAAACAGCACAACAGAAATCTTCACCCTCACGCAAAGTACACACGTTTCAGCTGGGAGAGTCAGTGCTCGTTCAAGATTATCGGAAACCGAACAAGCCAAGTTGGATTCCTGCTACGGTATCTGAGTGTTATGGTATGAGGTCGTACGTAGTGGAGACCGCAGATGGTGGTAGCTGGCGGCGCCATATTGACCAGATTCGACCTGGACATCCCACGTTCACTACTGCGCCGGGGAGAGAGGAGGAGTCGGAAACTGTATTACGACCGGAGCATCCAGTAGAAACGGCACCAGCAACTGTTGCACCCAGTGTTGAGTTAGCAGCATCCACCGAGACAGAAGCTGAAGCAGAAGTCACACCTACTGTGGTGTCATCACCAACGCCTGTTGCACCACTGTCATCCGAAGGAACGCCGGTGCTACCTGTAGTGCGGAGATCGTAACGGGTTTCCAGGCCGCCTTTGCGCTTGTGTATATTTTGTATTTTGTAGCTTTACTATGATTATCGCTGCTGTTGAGATGGACAGGTTAGCACCGCTTGTGTTGCCATGGTGTTTTCTTTTAGAACGGTCAACACGCTTTACCCTTTTGGTTGTTGTTAGTTAGTATTGATACATGGTCACCTTGATTCTGATTGTACCGTGTGCTTTCATTTAGAAGGGAGGACTGTGGTGTATGCACACCACAGACCCAGTAATGCATACTGTGTAGTGTACATCTTGATTACACGTAGGTCACGCCTTGCAGGCTGCGCAGCCGTAGTGTAGGTTCATGTTATTTTTATTTGTGATCTTTTGTTTTCTTTGATTTCATGTTTTTGTTGTAAGTCAGTTCGATACCAAGTAAACTCAAGTTCGGTTGTGTTGTCGTGTGCTCATGTTTCCCCTTGGGTAGAAACATAACACAGTGCAGTGGTGCGAAATTTGAAATTTGAAAAAGGTCGATTTAAAGGCACCTCAGCTGGGGGTTCGAACCGCACAATGTACTGTTGCAGGCAGAGTCAAATGGCCTGGATTTTCTTGGTTTTTCCCTATTCAGCGCTGGCTAAACCTGGCAGAGATCCTATTCTTGTGAGGGCTTGTTTTTCGGAGAAAAACACGTCAGAAACACAATGGCAAGAGGATTCTACAAGGGATTGCAGCGCAAAATTCTAAGAAAACTGAAAATGTAACCCATTTATGGCCAAAAGCTAGAAGTCCATCTTTTATGAATGGACTGTAGCTAGGCCTCAAGTGTATTTTTTGCGCTTCTTCTTCAAATTTTCAAAGTACGCCCACGATTTGCTTCTATGAGGAAAACCATTGAATTGTGATTTTCAGGCCAAAAAACTGATGTGCAGCACATGGGTTTCTCGATGGTAGGTGATTCAGTAATTTTCAGCAGAAGTTTGCGATTACTAGTATTCCGAGTGTGGCACGGTAAAAGACCATTGTTTACAGAGCGAAAAACGAATGTGTCAAATTCAACGCATTCGTCTTATTTACGTCTGGTAAAGGGTTTTAAAGCCACATTATCAGCTCTTCTTTGAGCTGGCTTGTGTAAGGAAAAGAAATCTCTCTTCTAAAGAGATTGAAGGTTGACTTACGTATTTCGCACACTACAAGCAAATGGCGATGCAGATCTAGTGGAGTACCATATGTAGTCAATGCCTTGTTATTCTTGTCAGGCAAACCTATCCACGCCACTCCTCTGCCTTCGTAGGCTAAGCCAATTGCGCATCCATCGCGGAACGACGCTTCTGAGAGAATTGTGCCATTGTGACGGCTGCACAGTGCTTGCCCTGAAGTGTAACTCAATTGGCGGCGAGTTGTTCCTATTATGGTCATTGTTGTCCCACAACCTCTTCTGTCCGTCAGCCCTTCAATAATAAAAAAGAGATCAGGAACAAACAAAGACTATGAGAACAAAGATCATGTGGCCCAATATCTGAGAAAATCGACCTTCCGGGCTGTTTTGGTGAAATTGATTTTTTTATTGCAAATTGATGTCTAGCCTTTGTAGAGTATTGTGACTTCGTTTCACGGCCATCAGACCAATATTGACCATGTAGAAATGCATTTTACGGTCAGGAGTCATGTTCATGAATTGTTCTTTTTTTTACAATTTTGAAAGATCAGTGTGTTTGGAGCCACCAAAAATTGTTTCCATGTGATATCAATAGCCAACTGATATAATAAAGTGTTTTGACTGTTCAGGTACTTCATTTCCAGCATTCCGTGACTTTATTGAAGTTATGTAGTTGCAACAGCAGCAATAGCAGCATTAGAAGGAGAGGTGATTTATTTGTTCTTCTGGTGATGGACATGCTTGACAGGGTAGTCTGCGACAGATTTTGACGGAACACCATGATATCAGCATTCACATACTTATTGTGAAGGAGTCAAACAGAGCAAATGCGTCCAGATTCGCCTTGTTGCACTTTGTAGAGACTGATCATTTCCAAACATCAGTAACACAGCCTGACAAGCGTTTCACAACACCAACTCAAAAGTAACAGAATGTTACTCGAGATTGCCCAGCCTCATGTGCTCCGTGATGGTCTGATTCGCCATTATTAGCTCGAGTATCGAGCTTGCCATCCAAAACATTTTAGGATCATCGTCACAAAGAAAACTAGCATCATTTCGTGCTGTTTTAGCAGGTCTGGCGTGACACTCAGGAAACAGTTTTGCCACCCGCGCAAGGGCGGCCAGTGACCTTGCAAGTGGCGTACCCTCAGGAATCTACTTGGTTGTCCTTGCCTGGAGCTGTAGCAGCTATCGCTGAGGCAGACTGTGGTTGGCCTTGATCATACTCATCCAGGCCAAGTCCTCATCATCGTCGCCCCCGACAGGTAAGTACCGCGTGTCACTTGCGATCGATTCGCCTGACATGCGCTCTCAGAACTAGAAGCGCTGTCGCCGCTTGACAGGGTATCCACAAAGAACGATGTATCACCGTCCATGGGATCGCGGCTGCTGTACTCCGTGAGCCCAATAACCAACTGACACAAGAATCGCCTTCAATTTTCTTCCGCCATTGTCGTCTCTGCACTTTGCTTTGACGGAATCGATTTTTTTTGCGAACAAATTGGTTTTTAGTGTTTTCTCAAAAAAACCGCGTAGCCCCGAAGGTCGAAAGTCTCAGATATCGGGCCATGTATGCATGGATCCTGCAAAATCACCAAATGTTTGTATCCATCCAAGGAACATGTTTGCGTGTTTTGGTGTGGCGGGTCCTCAAAGGAGCATGTTTGTCTAGGATATCCAGGAACTGCCGCAGCCATCGAGTCCACATCTCATCACACGATCCATCCAAGGAGCACAAGTTTGCAGCCACGAGGTCATTGCGAAACATTTCCATGTTGATGCCTCGGAGGTGTCGAGTCTGCGGTTGAGCACTCTGGGGTGCACAGTCGGCAGTGGTTGCCAGGGTAGAGATGACAGCCGAATGGTCACCAAATGATACTGGGGAGACAATGGTTGGGGCTCTGCACAGCAACGTACTAAATACTAAGTCCAGGGTGGTTTGTGATCCCGTAATTCCGATTCTTGTGGCCTGACTCACACTTTGTGACAGTCCGAGGGTATTCGCGATGTCAGGTAGATAGGAGAGCTGACCACTCTGGCGGCTATAGTCAACATTGAAGTCACCACAGATTATCACATCCTTTGGCTCCCTCATCGCACAAGTGAACGTCGCTTCCAGGGCCTGCCAGTAAGACACTCGCATATGAGGTGGCCGATACAGACAGACAATGAGACAAGGCTTCGGCTGGGACTTCACCTCTACCCAGCAGCACTCAATACCCTGTGTGGCAAGATCTACGTTCGGGCCAGATTGGAATTTTTTATTTCCATTGCTATCAGGTTCGGCCTCATTTCCTCTGTGCTGCGCTGACGAGTCCACAAAGGACGAAACAGTTCTGTCCGCAGATTGAGTATATACATATAATTTTTATGTTGAAACGAAAAAGGACGATTGACGACACATTATCCAAATATTACGACGGGAACAGGTAGGTTGGTGGAACGACATTTATTAGAGACGGGACAAGAGACCAAGACGAACGAAACGACTACATTGTGATTATTGAAGAGTGAGGAAGAGAGCAAGTCTGAACGGCAAGATAAAGGGCCTGGGTAGCTATGGCAATTATGGGCGAGCATGTAGCTACCCAGGCCAACGGAACAAAAGGAGACAAAAGGTGAGTACTCGAGTGCATGCAGGCCAGCTAGAATTGGTACGGGAGGAGGTACCTAACATATATATATATATATAGAGAGAGAGAGACTTAGTCGGAGGGAAACATATCAGCACACGAAGAGACGAAGCTAGTTGAAAATCTGATGAGGCCTTTCGTACCATTACTCTTCAAAATAAGTACCTGGTGATAATGTGACGAAGCACAACAATGTCAATTTATACAGCATATTGGCGGAAAATTTGTGATGAAACGAACACAGGCTGAATGATAGTGTGAGTTGCGCCAAAGAGTACACGCACTATAACAGGGAGATGGGAAGTCAAAATAGCACTAGCTTCCTAACAAACTCCTTCTGTCTACACAGCTCAGGCTGTAGCTTTGCAATGTAAACAGCCTCCAGCACATCTACAGTCCATTCAGAAAAAGATGGGCTCTGGCTCTGGCGAGCTCCCGTATTTGGCGATTTTTCGTGATTTCATTGTACACAGTGCTGTGCTGCGAAATTTGAACTTTGAAAAAGAGTCCAAAAAGGGTACCTGAACTGGGGTTCGAACCCCACAATGCACTGTTGCAGGCAGGGTCAAACGGCCTGGATTTTGATGGTTTTTTCCAATTCATTGCTTCTGGGGCAAAACCTGGCCGATATCCTATTCTTGTTATGGCTTGCTTTTTGGACAAATAGACTTCAGAAACATAATTGGAAGAGGATTCCATAGGGGATTGCAGAAAAAAATTCTAAAAAAACTCAAAGTTTGACCCATTTATGGCCAAAAGCTAGAAGTCCATCTTTTTCTGAATGGACTGTAGGTGACATTTGCTGTGCGCCAGCGCGTGAATCTTGAAGTGCTCTGGAACATTCTTACATTCTGCATTCAGGCAAGAAGTGGACATGATCAGATGTGTAGTTATTGCAGAATCATTTTTCACAGCTGATGGGTTGTGTGAATCACGCTGGTGGGGTTCACACTTACTAGTACTCGGGATAGGGTTAGTCTGCGCTACCTGATTCGATGGGCTCCTGGTCGGTGTCTGTGCAACTTGGCGTTGTTGTAATAGCCGAGTACTGTGGCGAGCGCTGGTTGTTGTCTGCACCTTCTTGGAGCCGACACGATGTATGATGGTTGAAGCGGTGACAGTTGGCTTTGTCAGGGCTGTTGCCAGTGCCTTTTGTTTGGGGGGGGGGGGTCTTCCTCTCCTGGGTTTGACGTAGTGGACACCTGGTGTTGTGGCCATGACTAGTCTTGGCGGAATATGCTGCGACATGCGATCACCTAGGCCGCATTGGGTTGTCTTGCCGATGTACCCGTGGCCACACTCACAGGTAAATAGATAATTATGACTTTGCTAACATTAGTCATCGGCAAGGCATCCTTGTTGGTCGTTTGGAATAATTTCCTGGTGGTGAAGCAACATATAGGAGAACAAAGAGGAACAAAGCGCTGCACTAGATTGAGAACTTTCTTTTTGATTTCAAGGGATGAGTCACCTAGCCATGGTAGTCGTAGAATCGCACGATTGGAGTTCTTCTCCTTACTACCTGCGTTTGTTGTCATCTGAGACATTACTCGCTGTACAAGTGGGAGAGGGTAGCCATTCCGGGAGAAGATGGACTCTAAATTGGAGAGTTCCCCATCAAGGTGTTCAGGGGAACTTTAGCACGTACAGTAAGCGACTTGATCAGTGCCACTTTCTGCCCAATTGGTGCATAGCTGTCCCATCTTGTGTACAGTCCGGTGAACGTTGGTTTCCGGTAGATGGTTGTCTTGAAACTGTCCTGCTCTCGGCTCACCAGAACGTCCAAGAATGGGAGTTTGCCGTCAACTTCTGGTTCCATTGTGAATCTTAGCACTGGATGTGCCGCATTGAGCCCATCTAGGAGCACCAAAGCATCAGCCTCACTGGGAAAGAGAGATAACGTGTCATCAACATAACAATCATAAATCATGGGCCAGAGTTGATCAGGAATATGTGGCCACACAGTAACCCAGGAAGATGTTGGCAAATATGGGTCCCAAGGGTGAGCCCATCGCCACCCCGTCGATCTGCTTATACATATTGTTGTTGAAGCTGAATTCTACATCCCTGGAGGCTTTGTATAGAAGCTTGCGTAATAGATTTTCTTCAACCTCTGGGGGAATGAGATCACCGTGGTATAGAGCCTCCAGACAGATATCAATGGTTTCCACGATGGGTACGTTGGTAAAAAGGCTGACTACATCGTATGAACACATGAACCCAGCACATGGCTTGTGCTGCCGGATTGACTGAGCAAACTCGAACGAATCCTGCACCACATGTGTTTGTGGACCTTGGGAGCACCGTACATACGGGGGCGCATTGCTCCAACAGGACGAATGCGGTTGTAGATACTTTCGCTTATCTTGCCCGATTTTAATTACCGTAGCAGGAATGCTTGCAGGGCTCTCTCGTTCAGATTTGTTCATTCGCACTCATCACAGCTTCCAATGAATAGAAACTTGGACTTATCATCCAGAATGTGCATCATCCTTTCCACATAGTCCATATCTGTCCATGAGAACTACACCAGTGCCCTTGTCAGGTCGCGTGATGACAAGATCCTTCTTACTGCGCAGCTCCCGAATAGCAGTCATATGATCGCTTCCCAATGGAAACGCCTTCTTATTCTGTTTGATGTTGGAATACTCATAGGCTAGGCTGGCTAACTTTGTTCTCATTTCATCACGTTGCGGAAATTTGTCTGGTACATGTCGACTCAATTGGGAATAGAAAAGTTCAAAATCACTCTGGATAGATTCTCTGCAAATTCTCGTTGGGGGTATGCCAAATGATGGGCCATGACTGAGAACCTCCATCTGGCTATGGGACAACTCATGGCTGGACAGATTAAACACGCTCTCTTTGATACACTCTGGGGACACAAATTGCTTCTTGCGTAACCACTCAATTCTCCCCCTGTAGTCCAAACGAAGCAAACGCAGCAAATGTCACCTAGATGTGCTGGAGGCTGTTTACATTGCAAAGCTACAGCCTGAGCTGTGTAGACAGAAGGAGTTTGTTAGGAAGCTAGTGCTATTTTGACTTCCCACCTCCCTGTTATAGTGCGTGTACTCTTTGGCGCAACTCACACCATCATTCAGCCTGTGTTCATTTCATCACAATTTTTCCGCCAATATGCTGTATAAATTGACATCGTTGTGCTTCGTCACATTATCACCCTGTACTGATTTTGAAGAGAAATGGTACGAAAGGCCTTATCAGATTTACAATTAGCTTCGTCTCTTCGTGTGCTGATACATATATACATATACGGTTCAAGATTGCCAGTTACAGCTCCTAGCGCTAGCTAGCTATCTCTAAATGAAAGCAAGGGACAGTGGCAGTAATGCATAAACTGGCCACAAAAGTGTTATTGTGTGGAATGAAGATTACAGATATTATCTAATGTAGGTAGCAAGAGACCTGATAGTGCAATACATAGTAATGTAGGTAGCAAGAGACCTGATAGTGCAATACATAGTAATGTAGGTAGCAAGAGACTTGATAGTGCAATACATAGTAATGTAGGTAGCAAGAGACCTGATAGTGCAATACATAGTAATGTAGGTAGCAAGAGACCTGATAGTGCAATACATAGTAATGTAGGTAGCAAGAGACCTGATAGTGCAATACATAGTAATGTAGGTAGCAAGAGACCTGATAGTGCAATACATAGTAATGTAGGTAGCAAGAGACCTGATAGTGCAATACATAGTAATGTAGGTAGCAAGAGACCTGATAGTGCAATACATAGTAATGTAGGTAGCAAGAGACCTGATAGTGCAATACATAGTAATGTAGGTAGCAAGAAACCTGATAGTGCAATACATAGTAATGTAGGTAGCAAGAAACCTGATAGTGCAATACATAGTAATGTAGGTAGCAAGAGACCTGATAGTGCAATACATAGTAATGTAGGTAGCAAGAGACCTGATAGTGCAATACATAGTAATGTAGGTAGCAAGAGACCTGATAGTGCAATACATAGTAATGTAGGTAGCAAGAGACCTGATAGTGCAATACATAGTAATGTAGGTAGCAAGAGACTTGATAGTGCAATACATAGTAATGTAGGTAGCAAGAGACCTGATAGTGCAATACATAGTAATGTAGGTAGCAAGAGACCTGATAGTGCAATACATAGTAATGTAGGTAGCAAGAGACCTGATAGTGCAATACATAGTAATGTAGGTAGCAAGAGACCTGATAGTGCAATACATAGTAATGTAGGTAGCAAGAGACCTGATAGTGCAATACATAGTAATGTAGGTAGCAAGAGACCTGATAGTGCAATACATAGTAATGTAGGTAGCAAGAAACCTGATAGTGCAATACATAGTAATGTAGGTAGCAAGAAACCTGATAGTGCAATACATAGTAATGTAGGTAGCAAGAAACCTGATAGTGCAATACATAGTAATGTAGGTAGCAAGAGACCTGATAGTGCAATACATAGTAATGTAGGTAGCAAGAAACCTGATAGTGCAATACATAGTAATGTAGGTAGCAAGAGACCTGATAGTGCAATACATAGTAATGTAGGTAGCAAGAGACCTGATAGTGCAATACATAGTAATGTAGGTAGCAAGAGACCTGATAGTGCAATACATAGTAATGTAGGTAGCAAGAGACCTGATAGTGCAATACATAGTAATGTAGGTAGCAAGAAACCTGATAGTGCAATACATAGTAATGTAGGTAGCAAGAGACCTGATAGTGCAATACATAGTAATGTAGGTAGCAAGAGACCTGATAGTGCAATACATAGTAATGTAGGTAGCAAGAGACCTGATAGTGCAATACATAGTAATGTAGGTAGCAAGAGACCTGATAGTGCAATACATAGTAATGTAGGTAGCAAGAGACCTGATAGTGCAATACATAGTAATGTAGGTAGCAAGAGACCTGATAGTGCAATACATAGTAATGTAGGTAGCAAGAAACCTGATAGTGCAATACATAGTAACACCAAGAGTACATGAAAACAAGAGTGTGCAGCTCGGATGGGTTGCTGTCGCGGCGGAATTAAGTGATTACATCATTTTAGTGATGTAGTGCATACAAGAAGGATTCAAGCAGGTCTCTTTCTGCACAACTGCTGCTCAGTTGTACGCACTACGCCACTTACCGCTCGCACGCGCCTGAAATCTGCGCCAAATATGATGTAATCACGAAATTCCGCCGTGACAGATGCCCATAGTAGAAAATGCCCCAAGCTGCTCACTCTGGTTTTCATATCCTCTTGGTAATACATAGTCAGGGTTTGTGTAGGAGAAATCTACTGAGTTTCGTTTTAGCTGATCACAGCCCGTGCATTAGCTAACTGTGCTAGGAAAGAAAGTAATTTACACTTACTATAACATATCGGCACTGAGCTCAATGTACCATCACCGTTGCATGTAGCTGATGAATTCCCCCACAGAAAGTATGTATGATCACATGTAAATTGAACAGTAGCGCCATATTGAACGAGTAAAGCATTACTCATACCATTTTGTATGGCTGGTACACTGCAGTTGAGAACTGGACATAAGGTCAACAGAGAAGAAGAAGAGGAAGAAGAAGAACAAGAACAAGAAAAGAAATTATCACTATTTCAATCTTGGTCTTAGAACATTTTCTATATGTCTGGCGAGGAGCCTCTCCAAACATGAAACACTCTGCACTTCAATGAAAACATTCACAGTTTGCGTGAGACTGGGCTGGAGGCCCGAGTTTTCCGCATCGGTAGGAGTGCCACTACCCTCCATGGGTAAGGTGGGTAAGGGCAACAGAGAAGAAGAAGGAAAGTAATTCGCACCAATAAAAACTGGTGGGTAAAAACCGTCTCGACTGTTTTTTAGGCAGTGACGGAGAAAGCAAAAGGAGAAAAGAAAAAAAGGGAAGCAGATGCCACTGTGGGCCAATGCCTGGGTTTGAGCAAAAACGGTGAAGGCTAAAAAGCTTTTCAGAGCGGGAGCAGGCCAGTACTCAGCGTAGTGCAATATGGACGAGACTCTTGTAGTGAAGTTGTGGATGAGACTGTTGTAGTGAAGTTGTGTTGTGGCGTTGTGCAGTTAAACAGCAGCTAGGTACAGCAAAAGCATACAGCGAATGGCAGTGCGCAGTGTTGTGGCTTTGTGCAATAGTAGCTCTATGCGGCGAAAGCATCCACAGATAGACTGGCTCCAGCGCGGCGCAGCACAAGCAAGTAGACTAGAAAACGAAAGAAAAAAAGAACGAAAGCTCGACTTGGTTGGCGAACACCCGCCCCCGGCCCTTTAGAAGCCGGTGTGGCGAGTTAAAACCAAGATTTGAAGGGCACCCAACTATCCTCGCTGGGTGGCTGTCCGCCAACCGAGTGCCAACAAACTGCCTCTCCGGACTTTTAAAACAGTGACCAGTCACACCAAGCCTTCTCACGTCGCCTCAGCCAGATAACGTAGCTGGAATTTAGTGCTGCGTTTCTGCAGTTTCTTCTTAGTTGGCGCTGTTTTTCCTTACAACAGCCCCATGCTCGTGCCAAACCGTGCAGGCTGCTGGAAATGGCTCCTCTAGCCCCCACCTCCGCTGTGAGGGCCTCGGCTTCCCAGCCATTCTTCATACACTCCTGTTTGAGGTGTTGATACCATGACAGCTTTTCTCTCTGGACTGGAGGATGCAGTCTTCGCTACACACCGTGAGTTCCAGCCAAAGCACCCTTCTCAATTTCTTCGAGAAGAGAACTATGTCTGGACGACACGTGGTAGGTGCAATAAAGTGTTGGAATACTAGCCTCTCGTCCAGATCTGAAAGAAGCTGCCAATCATGTGATCTCGACAAAAAACCATCGCTCAGACCTTTCCGCTGAGGTAACTCGCCACGGGGATGTTTGGACCCGGTTTACAGAAGGTAATGTAGTTAGTGGGAGTTTGCTCGGTTTTTGACGACTTTTGCTTTGCTGATACTACTTCTGTCATGAATTTACTGATTTGTTTGAGGACGTTGTCATGGCGCCACGTGTACCTTCCTTGATGGAGGGAGGAAGGGCAGGCGGTGATAATGTGCCTCAGTGTTGATGTCCGCTGACAAAGAGGGCAATTCTGGTCCACAGCAGAGTTGCCCCATCGTCTCAGATTGTCTGGCGAAGGCAGAGTATTAAGTATCGCGTTCATTTGGAACGATATCATCCTTCCATAGCCCTCGTATAAGAGTTTCCGCCATGTCATGTCCTCGAACATTGTGTCTGCCCATTTGGTCCAGGCCCCTTGCATTTGTAGGCCCTTTAGGTGCCGGAGCTGCTCCTGGCAGTCGCCTTCTCTGATTGTATTGAGGATTTGTTTCCTTGGTTTTACCACGTGTGCTTTTGGTGTCACGAAACCCAGTCCGGCTCTGGGCGGTCGCGAAGCAGGCGTGTCCGATACGGCCGTTTCGGCACATTCCAATTCCACAACCGGCGAGAACCTACGGGTGAACGTTTGTTCTTGTTTTCTGTGATGGCAATACAGTTGCGCGATGTTGTGGTCTTTGCTGTGCTTGATAATGTGCCATTTAATAGTTTGCTGCTGTTTCCATAGTGTTGTGATACACGTGAGCCAGAGGCCTGGCCTTTCTCGATTTCCGGTGAAGAGGATGGCGGTGTTTGCAGCCTTGGGTAGGCCTGCCCACTTTTTAATAAAGGAGAGGCTGATGTGATGAAGCATTTTGGCAAAACTGTGACACAGGTCAAGTATCTCTAGGTGCCATGATATTTTCGGGATGATCAGCCAGAGTTTCTGGTGACCGACAAGGTGGGTTTCATGCACCAGTTTTAACCCTTTATTGGCCGATTAAAATACAAACAAGCCCACGCAATCCTGTACCTAAATTGGACGTAACTTTAGTTTGCATTGGTCAAATTCCACGATCTTGGGCATCCTGGAAAGGCCTTGGCGAGAGGAGCGCAATGAGCACAAACTCAACTCCATGGGATGCACTGGCCCAGCGCTGCATATTGTAAGGCCGGGGTCGAAACAGGTGTACGTGTTGTTGATTAGCTTTGCTGCGTAGGTCCTGCATTTATGTGGGGCAGCTTTCATTTGAGACCAGGACAAAAACTTGTCCACAACATCTAGTTTATTTTGTGTGCCATGGGTTCTGTTACTAAAAACGGCTAAATCATCTTCGAAACCAGTGTTAGAAGCAGTGATATCCGTCTGCTTGAAATTGTATGAAAGTGCTTGTAGGGGTTTTGCCTGGAGGGCATCGAGGAGAACTTGGAAGGTGATATTGAACCGTACTGGGGACAGTGGGCATCCCTGAAACACACCGATACTGTACCGGAACGTCCGGGTCTGGGGCTTTCGTACGGAAGCAGTGAGATGCTCGTAGTGAGAAAATACAAGTCTTCTAATATTCAGTGGGATATGGTACCGATGCAATGCCGCTTGAATTAAATTGTGCTTTACTGATCCGAACGCGTTCTTTAGGTCTATCCACACAATCGCTATGGAGCGCTTGTTCCTCTTCGAGTCTTTCATGGCTTCGCTACACAGAGTAGCATGTTCCACACAGCCCGACATTCCTGGCAGGAAACCTTTTTGTGTCATGCCATCAAAATACTCATTCACCAACATATGGCGAGTTAGTATCTTGGACAGCATGGCAAAGAAGATCTTACCATCGCAGTTGGAGAGAGGGATTGGTCGGAACTTTGCTGGATCTGACAAACGGTCACTTTTAGCAATAAGTGTAACGGAGGCGCACTGCCAAGATCGAGGGATAACACCAGTCTTCCAAACTGTTTCGAAGATGCTGAAAAGGATATTGTGCAGGCATTTGCATCGCTTCCAGATAATGTACGGAATGCCATTTGAACCAGGAGCTGACTTGTTCCTGCATTTTCTTAGGGTATTTTGAAACAGGGTCCATGTTGGACTCCTGTCAGTTAACGGAGTGGACGGTTTGCTTGTGGCTGGAGAAAAATCCGGCAGGGAGAAAGTTTGACCACGTTCCGGGTCTTCATACAACTTGGAGACTGAGTAATCAAAACAAGTCTGTTCTGAGAATTCAGGATTGACGGGCGTTCCTTTCCGAGATAGCCGTTTGGCAAACTTATGGAGGTCTCGGAGGAAGGCTGAGTGTTGCTTTTGTGCTTCGCGATCCTGCTCGTGTGTTTTGATGATTTTCCGCAGTTTTCTTGATGTCCTTCTGCACCCGGTTATAATCTTTTCCGAGGATCTCAACCACATGCTCGTCTAATTGGTCCCTGGCTCTGTATTGTTTTCGTAGGCGCGACGCTCCATGTAGAGCTCCGTTAGGCATCTGGATTGGCGTGGTTTGGTCAACTGGCTTTTTGGAACTGCATCAAAGGTGGTGTAGTCAGTGAAGTCAGTCTTAGGAAAGACGTTAGTTAACCTAGGGATTCATCAGGGTCAGCATTCTTGATTTTTGGTGGAGGAAATTGGCGTTTAATGTGTTGCTCAAGTTGTTGGTCTGCATTTGCCTAGGCAAGGCTAGACCTTGGCAGGTACAGTTTGTTATTGGGCAGATCCTGATCCGGTTTATCATCACTTGCATGTAAAACTTGCTGGGAGCAATGCTCCATCTTCTCGGCTGTGACAATGTTGCCGTCAGCGCTGTGCTCAGGAGGCGGGCTGACTGGCCTGGCAACATCCGTGTTACCACTTCTATTACTAGGGGTGAGCGGAATGTCAATTTCCTTACTTAGTTAAACCTTACAGGTTTTAAGGTGACGTGCCATGTTAGATTTGAATATGTTTTTCATGCAATGCGGACATGGTTTTTTCCTAGCACAGTCTTTCAAACTGTTTTGGTTGTTGGCTAAGGCGATTTCGGTCTTTGACCATTTGGTGGTGGATCTGATCTACTCACCTCCCGCCGCTTTGGAGCTACATCCGCGCATTGAAGCTACACAGTGGCGGTGTTCCTGCAGATGCGGAAAACTCGGCTTTTTCTTTTTTTTACTAAGGCCACAGCTTCCAATCATGACATGCAAAGCAGCGGTGCAGCATCGCAGGCATGAATCGTGGACGTGGTGACGGGGTCTGATGTGCTCCACCGAACTAGCGTCTCGGCTTCACTGTACAGCAAACGCAGTGAACGAAAACGGGGAGTAAATAATTATCGGGAGGTGGGGGGGGGGGGGGGGGGGGGAGAAGAAGAGAAGAAGGAGAGAGATAGATTGAGAGAGAGAATAAGAGAGAGATTGAAAGTGAGAGAGAGATTAAGAAAGAGAGAGAGAGCTGGGAGATAGAAGAGCACAGTGCTCTTGGTGATGGGAACTGCGAAGGATAGCAGGTTCTGGGACATGTGCATGAGAATCAAAATATTGGTGATGATGGCAGCAGGGTTATAAGGTTAGCAGCTGAACACTAACAAAAGCAGGGAAAGCGTTGGCGAGCAGATTCAAAGGGCATCAGTAGCAAAGAGCCAGTCCTGAGCAAGAAGGGCCACACAGCAATTTCCCACTGATAAGTACCTGTGATACTACCTCTACATACAATGTAATAATGATACCAAATACATGCACAATGTACACTGTACATGTACAAATCACACCAGTATGAAATAATTCACTTTTCTTGATATTTATAATATTTTGAAAGCAGTTTTGGGAACTTCTATCTTCACATATGACTTTGACAGAAATTTATTATCTATTTGACCCATATTGCATGTCTCCCGGGCTATAAAGAGGCAATTTACATGTACGTTGTTATGGTAACCATGGCAGTTTTAGTAAATAGGCCATAACTCTTGAACGGACAACTTTGGCACATTCTGGTTTTCAGGTATCAGTTGCTGGTTGTTATGCCATTCCAAATCCATCAAAAAAATCCTTCCTGGACAGGGTGTCACACTAACTCCTTATTCCTTGGACTTTTGCTGACTTGGCTCCTAGACTATGCTGGAAGATACCAATGACAAGGAAGACGAGTGGTTCCAGGGAGTGTGAAAACGAAAAGCAAAGAGAAATTTTTCAGGTAGCTCATGCCGGAATACTTTTTCCGAAAATTCACCAGTTTGACACCTTTTTTGCAATGCTATGGGTGTCCAGAATGAGAAAATCAATATATGTATTAGGGTACATAATGGGGCACTTTGGAAGGGTTATGGCCCTTCGAAGTAGCCCGAACAAGGCGTTCTCTAAGAAAGAGACAGGTTTGCATTGAGGACAATAAAATGCTTCCAACTTTCATCTGTTGCTTCATATCATCATGTTATCATGTTAGTAATTCCCATAGTATCAGAGCATGTCAGAGTAGCTTTATATGCAAAAGATACACTGGTTGAAAGTACAGGCTTCTGCGTAAGGAGATGAAACTAGTATTCTGAACCCCGATACGACACGGTGCCAGAATGCTTTGAAATTTAAATTTTGCAAAATTGGCCCGAAAATGAAATTTTCTTGCTAGTTGCATCGCACTACATCAGCATCATGCAGTTATGTCAAAATGATGTTAGCTCATTGGACTCGTTTACCCACTGTTTACAGAAATATGCGAAGAAATGATCATCTCTCGTTATTGATTCCAGTGGATTTGCCTAAACAATGTGTGATACTAGTGGTCCTGAATTCCAAAGAAAGAATTGAAATGTACTTATATCATAGTTTAGTACATGTGCAAGCCTGCCAAATTGAAACAAATGAAAAGCGATTTCCTGTTTGTAAAAGTAGGTTTTTCTCTTATTTCCTGACATAAATGCGAGCGTTTGGGCGTGGCTTGCACACTAGCGAAATTTTGGGAGTAACAGCTTGCCCTCATGATGCTTGAAAATTTGAACAAAAATCGGAGAGAAAGTGGTTTTTGACCGCTGATAATTTTCGCAATATAGGCCCTAGCTACCTTAACCCTTTGTGTACGGACTGTACAACTTTCGATCCCCTGGGATCGAAACTTTTCAAAATTGCAATCGATCGTAACTCAGTCATTTCTGGGCTATTCCCAAAAACTAAAATAATATTTTAGTTTTTGGGAATAGCCCAGAAATGACTGAGTATTATGTAGATCGAAGAGAAAACTCCCAGCTGTCCAATGAAACAATCGTTGAAGCGCTCCGATGTGCGGTTCCAGAGTTACGAAGCTCGAAAGTCGAATCGCGGAAAATGTCGCGCAATAGTCGCTCGCGCAGATTTGAATGAGAAATTTCTCCATCAATCTGGGCATGCAGTGACGTAGAAACACGTTCAAAATGGTAAACGGTCGCGTGGTAGTTTGTAATTTTTTTGAAGTAACAGTTTAGTTGTTACGAGCAAGGAGAGCGAAATGGCTGATACAAGACGACTTCTGTCGGAATATTGGCGTTGCAGCTAAGACGCTGAGCTGTAGCGCTGGCGTTTTGACCTTCGTGGTGGCAAGCGTGGGCTCAATCTGTCCCTCTTGCGACGGGCTTTCCAGGAAGCCCAAGATTGAAAAAATCGTCAAAAGGAGACTAAAGTTATGGCCCAGAGAAGTATGGAATTTGAGGTGAGTCGAAATCAAATTCAGTCTGTGTACATTTTTTCCGTACATAAAGGGTTAAAATCAAGCTCCTCGGCTGCTCGAGGAGCAATCTATACTGATTTAAAATCAGTTTGGGTATTTGTAAAGATCCTAGTGATTATCAAGAATCCAGCCCCTGAATATGTTTGCATGCCTTTGTGTGCTTCCGCACACTGGTTCTGCTGTACAGTGCTTACCATCATATCGACAAGAGATATCATCAGCCATTGGTTTGGACTCCATTTGATCATTTTGTCGAGGAAGGCAGGCTAAAACATATGGGCAAACAATAGAAGTAGGTCATTGATCCAATCGTATTTTTTAAGAGAAAAGAAAAAATACTATGTTACGAGTTATGACTAACAGTTCACCAAGACTATAGTTGTATTTTGTATTTTATTATATTTTAAAGGATTTTCCAAAGGCTTTGCGCCTGTCGAGGGGATCTCCTGCAAGAAGAATGAAATGACAACTTTATGTAGAGGGAGCAGTAAATCAAGGATAGGCTAAGGAAATAGATCTAGGCGTACAACATCTGGTAAGTAAGGAGTTGGGGATACCGTCCGTGGAATGCATGTATCGGAGAAAATGCTGATAGAGAGAATGCTGGAATTCAGGAGGCTGGTTATAGAGGTAAAAGAAGGCGGTAGGCAATTCCATAGCATTGCGGCTTTGTTGGAAAAGAGGGAAGAAAAACGCACACCGTGATAATTGATGTTAAGTTTGTTGCGCGCATAGTGAGATGGTCTAAGACCATGATTGAGAAACAGAGGGTACCAGGTTCAAGACCTGCTTGGAAGCGGAAGGATTTTTTCCAGCCAAGCTGTGACCCACAGTTAATTGGGAACCCGTGGCCTGGCACGAGGAAAACATGGATGCAGTGAATGGGATTTTCGGTCTTTGACCACATGCTGGTGAGCTGATCTACTCTCCTCCCACCGCTTAAGGAGCTGCATCTGCGCCTTGATCCTTGAAGGGTGGCGTTCCTACGGATGCGGAAAACTTGGCCTCTATATAGAGAATCCGAGTCTCACGCGAATCGTGAAATTTGTTTTGTTTTTTGTTTGTTTGATATTCTTGGACTTGAAGACAGTGAAAGGTGAAAATGTTGGAGATGTCCGGGAGATGTAACAAGAGCTGATATATGTCTGCGAAAGTGCAACGACTCTAAGTAACAAAGGGCGTTTACCTGGGATTTCTTTTCACATCTACCTACATTGACTTTTTTTACGTAGCAAATACTTCCTAGCTACTTTGGCTTGTAAAATATTTAAACGCTCCAGCTCAGCTTTGGTGATGGCACAGGTCCAGGCCAAGGTGACGTGTTCCAGGGCGGGTCGGACAAACCTTTATATAAAAGTAGAAAGGCTGTGGAGGCAAGATGCCGTCCCATGAAGCATAGCAGATTAACACGACGTTCGAAGGTTTTAAGGATGGTCTGAAGGTGGATGGTGTTGGACTGGTCGGGTGTTAAATACACTCCAAGATGCTTCGCAGCTTCAACGATGGTGATAGGTTGGGAAGAGAGCCGGATAGGGTGGTCGTTACTGTAGTTACGGATCTGAGTCGTTTTGGCTGGTGAGAACTCTCCACCGACGTTGCTGGCCTATAGCTGGTAGGCATAAATGTCGCTCCCTACACGAGATTGAGTCTACTGCAGGGAATTCTTGTTATCATGTACATATAGGAGGGTGACATCGTCAGCAAAGAAGCATGGGGTGCAGTAGGTGATTGATGAGGGCAGGGAATTAACAAATAATAAGAAGATGGTTGGCGCAAGATGCAATCCCTGCGGAATTCCACGGGTGAGGACCTTGGCTTCGGAATACTGTCCTTCCAACCTTACAGACAGCTTCCGCTAAGATAAGAAGCTTTGGAGGCAGGCGACTGCTGGCCTATCAACAATTCCTTCAATGCATTTAGCAATGCTTGATCAATAGGTTTCTTAAAGTCGAGAAAAACACAGTCTAACTTAAGCTTCTTGTCATTGCACTCAGCCATTTGATGTGTCAGCAAGAGCAATTGATCCTCTTGTCATTGCACTCAGCCATTTGATGTGTCAGCAAGAGCAATTGATCCTCAGTAAATCGGTTTCTGACAAAACCGAATTGGGCGCTGCTGATATAATGAATCTCATGTACGAAATCACGTAGATCATCCGCCAAGATCCGTTCAAATAATCGAGGCACGATTTTGAGCAGGGAAATCGGCCTGTAGTTGCTGGGGTCCGATTGCTCTCCCTTGCCCTTGTACAGTGGTGCAACTGTAGCCAGTTTCCAATCCTGTGGGAAACAACCGTCATCTAGGCTCTTGTTGAAGACGTACACCAGTGATTGACAGAGCTGATCAGTATGATGGCGCAGAACAGGGACAAGTTCTGGGTCAGCAGTAGCTTTCCTCGTGGAGAGCTATTTCATGCCCTACACACCTGGCTTGTGCTGATAGGAGTGAAGCTGAACTTCTCGGCTAGTGGCAAGGGTTCGGTATTCGGAGAGCAATGTGGATGTATGCTGGATGAGGTACACTGTGCTGAGAAGTGGGAACTGAGCATTTCTACCTTTTCCGCAGGGGTTTCAGCGGTTGCATTATTCATATGAAGATTGGGGATTCGGGAACGAACATTGTTAATCTGGCAGAGTGTTTTCGCTTTTTCCACTAGTGGTAAGTGCCCCGACGAGTGTCTTCAAGATCATCAGCCCGTCTTTGGTGTTGGTTTTCTCTGGCTTTACGCAGCTCAAGTCGGTAGGAGTTACGGGCTAGTTTGTATGCTAAGTGGCAAACCGGATCCTGGGGATGCTTCAGAAACTGTCGATATAGTCTATTCTGCCTTGATCTCAGCTTCTGTAGATCGGCATCGGGTTTTTGTTCTCATGCCTGGTAGTAATAATCCACCATATCATGCACTTGTCGAACAGAGCCATAACATGGTTGTGCCAAACAGTCCAAACGTAGTCGATATGCACATCACCCTGGATTCTTTCAAGTGGAGGATATCTCAGAAGTAGTGTGGTGAACAAGGAGTGGCTAATGCACCGCATATCCCGGATCCACTTGCTTTCCTTACTACTGGTGACTAGCTCACGTGATGTGGGTACAGAGAGATGGACGTGATGACCAGACAGTGATCAGCAACAGGTGGATGGGAGGTCTCGCCGATTGGTTCCAGTCAGGTCAAGGAGTGAATTCGAGGTTGGTGTGGGCCTTGTACCATGTTCAGTATTCACTACACAGAGGTCGTAGGTGGTAAAGAGTGTGAGAAGGGCTCGTCCGGCTGTATCGGATAGTCTGAAGGTTTCCAGTGGGAATGACGTGCATTGAAATCTCCAGCTAAAATACATTTTCTATCAGCGATAATCATGAGTAGGCGTTCTAAGCATTGGGTGAACATGGGCACTGGATGCCTAGGCGGACGATATATTCCAACTATCTATATACATTGGGAGGGAATGGGCATGAAGTTTCAGCATGAGCATTTCACAATAATGTTCCTCCAGGGAGGGAATGCGCTCACATTGGATATTATGTCTAGCCAGTACCGCGACTCCACCTCCACCCAGCAGGGACCAGGGCACGTTACAAGAGCACCTGTCCCTGTGGTATATCTTGTAGCCGGGAAAGACAAGACCGGCATCAGGCATTGTATCATTTAACCAGCTTTCTTTTTGCACAATATTTCCACATCATTCTCTTCTAGGAGAGCTGTGATGTCGGCTTGTTTGTGCCAAATACTCCGGCAGTTAACATTTCCAACTACACTCATACCTCGGTTATCCGGACCCCGAAGTTACGGGCACTTCGGTCTACCGGGCACTATTTGGGCGAGTTTCAGGGGAAATATTACTACTCTTTTGTCACTTTTCGTAGAAATATTGACGTCATATGCCATATCGATGGCCTTTTCCCCATCAAGATGTATATGATTCGGAGTTACGGACATTTCAAAGTTACGGGCAGTGCAAGGTCCCGGACTGCCCGGATAAACGAGGTATTAGTGTACAAGACACGGGCTATTAGCAAGGTTCAGGAGAGGATTGCTCACCAACGCCTACACCCACATTGAGCCCCACTTACCGGTCGACCAATCTGGATTTCGATATAAGGATAGTACTGAACTACAGCTCTCCCGCCTAGTGCATGAGATTTCCGGCAACCAAGATGTCCGTCAGGCAGTGTCAGCATGCTTCTTTGACTTATCAAAGGCTTTTGACCGAGTCTGGCATGCTGGCCTCCTGGCCAAACTCGAGCACCTTGGTGTCCGTGGCATTGCCCTTACCTGGCTCACAAGCTACCTGACTCGCCGCCGACAACGCGTCAAGGTTGGCTCCGCTTTGTCATCATGGAAATGCATTCCAGCTGGAGTACACCAGGGCTCTGTCCTGGGGCCTCTTCTGTTCCTGGTGTACGCGATCGACCTCCCCCCAGCATTTACAAACTCCCACACCAAATGCAGCCAGTTCGCCGAAGACACTGCACTCATCGCGATGCATTACATGAGAGATTTGTCAGCTGCATTCCTCCAACGTGCAGTGGATGCAGCAGGACGATGGTTGAAGGATTGGCATCTCCTCGTCAACACCACGAAAACCGTCGTCCTTTCCTTCCAACCCCAGCACACCATCCCCATCACGCTCCACTCGACTTGGCTGCAGCAGGTCCACCCACATAAGCACCTTGGTGTTACACTCCAAGATGATATGCGATGGACCTAACACAACATAGAAACCACCAACAAAGCCCAAAAACTACTACATTAACTCCACAAGACACGTGGCACCATGAACGCTTCCACCCTATTGTTAATAATATACTAAGTTATACACGACCTACATCTGACCCGTTCTCCAATATGGCAGCCTTGCCCTCTCCAACACCACACAGCAACAGCGGGACACACTGGAGAGAACTCAACGCCGTGCTATACGCATCTGCCTTTGGATTCCCCTCTTTGCACCAGTTCACCACAGTTCCCTCCTCCATTATGCAAAGCTCCCCACCCTTAGCTCACGACTCCTTGTTAAGCAAGTCCTACTAGCATGGGACATCCACCACCAAACCTCCCCACCACACCTGCAACAACCACATATTGCACCACAACGTCAACACCAACCATGACTTTTGACACGCACACACAAACAGAACTTTTTTAAAAGCTCGCCAGGAGTAAGAAGCAAGTTTTGAAGCTCTGAGTGTCGTGACTACCTCCCCACCCTAGAAGCATAATTAGCTATTCTGACTAGTAATATCTGTCTAGCATGGATGACTCCCCATC